AGCAGTGGTATCAACGCAGAGTACTGCTCTAGCTATGGCAAAGAAGGCGCTCGAAATTGGAGATGCGGAGATTTGTGTTAACGTTGCATTTAAGTAATGGAGTGCAAGAGCATCGTGCTTTTGCTGGCCCAACAACTTTGGAAGTATCAGAATGAGAATTTTTTCTTCTGGATGATATCCCGAGTGATTTGGATACAGGGATCGGTTCATAATATTTGATTGAGTTGATTGTTTGGAATCAAGATAATGATAAATGTTTTAGCTAGCAGCAAGATCTGAAAATGGACAGGAGATAAAGAAAATGAAACTGGACAATGAACAAGCAGTGAGCAGTACTGAACAAGCAGTAAGCAGTACCGTGGAACCTGCTCATTAGGATAGTTTCTGATAGAGAACAGAAATCTTTCAACTCTTCCCTTTCTTTACCTCATCACAGCTGCATTCATTTTTCTTCCCACCGTCGTGGTATCTGTATAGTATTTCTTGTTTACTAAGTATCGGTCATGCCATAGGACGCTCTCGTAGTCAAAATATTGTTCAAGTTGCTCTTGCTATATTCTCTAACTGTGATTCTCTGTAAAATATGGTGATTTCGTTTATCACGTCGTATAACTACTTGTCGAGTTCAAATATAAACTGTGTCTACCAAAAACTTCCGCCCAAATTCTTGATTATGCTAATTTTTTCTTCGATCATGAGTAAACTATTGGGTGTTTGCAAACTTGGGTCGCGCTGAACTCCTACCTGGGGGGGGGGGTCTTATTCGGCTAATTTGGGTGAGGTTTAGAGACAAAATTGGGGTTTGGAGCTTAAAGGCAACGTCCAGGCAAGTCTGGACCTATGGGGATTTTACATGGAAAGTACTTTTGGGGCCCTAACTAACCCACTACCCAACCGGCAGCTCAGGTAGTGCTGTAACGCCTGAGATATTCTGCTCGAAACTGGACCCCGCGACCGTGTTTCGCATGGATTCATGGCGCAAAGCGTGGATCCTGGCGCGAAACTGCCATGAATCCATGCGAATACGTTCGCGGGGGTCTGTTTCGAGGGGAATATCTCCGCCGTTAGAGCACTACCTGAGCTGCTGCTTCGGCAGTGCCTTAGTTAGGGCCCCAAAAGTACTTTCCATGTAAAAGCCCCATACCAGATCTGCCTGGAAGCTGCCTTTAATTAGGGCTAATTACAGTGTGCCGCGGCAGACCTGCGGAGCACAAAATCGGGGGGCTCCGGCGCACAAAATCGGGGGGCTCAGGAGCAGAAAATGGGAGGTATCCGGAGCAGAAAATGGGAGGTATCCGGAGCAGAAATGGAGGGCCCCGGAGCAGGCTGCGTATCGATTTGGCGCGTAGCAAGCAAACGTCTAACTCCACGGTGATGAGTCCTCTGTTTACAAATCTCCGCATCTCCAATTTCGAGCGCCTTCTTTGCCATAGCTAGAGCTCCTTCGAATGCCTTGTTACCTCCGATAAACCCTAAATACCACAAAATGAAGAAATTGGCAAAAAATATGAGAAATTTCAAATGTACCTGTCACGTGCACAAATATGCATCCGTCAATGCCGCAGAAATTAGAAAGCTCCTCAACCAGCATTGTAAAATCGCCTAATCTAGCGTGATCTCAAAGCTGCACTATAAATGATGATAGCATGACCTGCGTTACCGTGCTGACTCAAGACATTCCGCGACGCGACTCTCACCGCACAAACGCAGTTGCGCGAGAAACATGCAATCAAAGGTGAAACACAGCATGGGTGATGTCAAACAGCCAACACCTTGACTGCGGTTCACCCAGACTAACCTCCAACAAGATCTATAGCTTGTTGAAACCTCTCGTCGGGCATGGGGCCAGTTTCGTTCCAGTAGGGACTCACATGATTGACACGGCCAGAAAGTCCACCAGGGGCGATATGCATCAATCTCCCGTTTTGAAAGCGGGCGATCATTTCCAATAAAAAATGAATGCCCGGCCGGGTTGGCCGCAGCTTCGTACATTACGGGTCGGGCGGCCAACCCTTCCGGGCAATCATTTTACTATTGAAAATGATCGCCCGCTTTCAAAACGGGAGATTGATGCATACCGCCTCAGATGTTTGATATTTTCAAAGTCATATGTTGAAGCAGCAAAACCACACAGCCAAATCAATATAGATAGGAAGAGATCAGCATACAATATGTTGATGATTAAAGCATGATTCTCATCCAAAACGTTATTCGAAAAAAAAAATAAAACTTCAAGCAAGATATAAATGGATACCGACAAGGCTCTTACCTGGGTGTGCCATCATACTGTGGTATGCCGTTATCGATAGCATCTATGGCTTCGACAAACGTTTCGTAGAGCTTTCGAAAAAATATATACACCATCTTATCGTCGTGAAAGGAATCAAGTATCTGACGATAATAAACTGAATAAGAAAGATTAACCCTGACTGACAATGCTTACCTCTGCAATCAGTTGTTTTCCATAATGAGCCTAGATCAATCCAGCTGAACTGAGTCTAGAGTTAGAATCCAGGCCCAAATGTCTGCATCGTCTCATTGAACTCTCTGAAGACAGCACGATTATGGAATTACCAACATTATTTGTGTGATCTTCATGACTGTAGGAGACTCAAACTTAACAGCATGCAAAGCAAGACCTACAATTGGTGA